CTGTCCGTTCAGCACCACCGACCCCGGGACCCCCCCCCGCCCAGGGCCGGGAGCTGTCCGTTCAGCACCGCCAGCTGCGTCAGAAAGGGCACGCTTAAAACTCTCGGGGGTAAAAGCCCAGCATTGCAAACCTCAGCACTCAAATTTACTCCAGAAGTACCTGCACGCACATTTGCTAACAAATATAAGGTTTTGAGGACATATTTATGCCAGTGGACATAATCCTTGAGCCTAGATAAGATAGCTGGCTAGCCAGGATATGACATGGCCAAGGCCCTTCCAGGAACGACTGTATGTCTTCCGGTGCACAAATGTACATATTTTAAGAAGAATTAGACAGGAAATGCTGAAATTTTAATTTAAGCACCTAATTACATTTTTTTTACTTCTGGTAAATTAGTGAAAATAAATTCAGCTTACACTGAGCAAACACTGCGTGTGTGTATAAATTAGTAAGGCTGTCTGACTCGGTTCCTAAGGGACTTTATACCGAAGCAGCACTTTGGTCTCGGAGGTGCAACAAGAGCTTTGTTTCATTGACAGGTAGAGGATTAGGACAGGCTGCCTCACTCAAGGCTGAATTGGTGACATTTTACATTTCTTTTTAGGCAAACCCTGCAATAGAAGGATCAGTAGCAACTTCATTCACTCTGCTATAGTCATAACACCTCCCTGCTTTCTTATTAGAGTTGGGGTGAAATATTGCAAATAACTGAATTGTGTAAATTAAGAAGTGAATAACTTGTAGAATTTATAGGAAATATATCAGAGTGCCATCCTGTAAAGTGGGGTAAACTTGTGTTTTGTTGGCTTCATAGGACCCTGGGTAGTGATTAAGCTACAATTCTATCTAAAAAGGTGCATGAAGTTCCTCAACATTTCCGGATATTTATGCCCCGTAATCAGCACAGTCTGATCCTGCTCTCTTTATATCCCACTGCACACCCCATGCAACAATTAACCTTTATTAAAACGTTTCATCTAACTTTTCTCTGCACTGTATATATGGCATAGGCAAAATTACTTTCTCCCTGTTGCAAGGGGAAGAAGGGAGATGACCCGGGCCTTCACCAAGGCACGGAGAGGGTGAGGGTGCTCTCTGCTCGCTTTCTCTCTAGCGATCATTTCCTCTGCTCCCTCTAGTGCTGCACAGCACAAACTGCATTCCCATCTCCCTGCCGCTTCCCAGCACCACTGAACACGGCATTTATCCATCTAAAGTGTTTTGTCTCCAAGTTACCCCCCGGAGACACTCCCCAGCTGCTCCCCAGCAGCTGCGGTGCAGGAGATGGAGGAAGGGCTCGGGACGGGTGCGGTGTTCGAGCAACAGGGACCATCTTCCCACCGGTGACGTGCCTGGACAGTGGGGCTCACCATCTATTAGTCATTTAAAAGTTTCATTCTCTTCTTCCTAACCAAATAAAATTCAACTGTCAACAGTTTGAGCAGCCTGTCTCTTTGTTCGTTGTTTAACCACATCCAGTGAAACAGAGTGAGGCCATTTAGGGCACGACACCGATACAGTCATTCATAATGAACAAGAGGCACAGGAAGATTAATTTATGTGAATTCAGGCAAAGTAAATGGATGAGACTGGATGTGCAAGGTCAAAGGAAGGTTATCAGAAGGAAATAATTTGGTTTGCAAAGATAACTTTGGAGAAGCAAAAAATTGCTTCCATAAAGAATATGATATAATGAAAAAAAAAAAGAGAACAGTCCAATTATAGGTGGGGCCAAAGCACAAACAGAAGGTAGAGAAGCCAGAGAGACAGGGAACCGAGCCCTTCAGCACAAGGACTGCAATGCCACATACACAACAAAAGCAACTATAGTCCTCGATAAGCCTTGAGAGTACAACACTCTAAATATTCTCACCTGCCATGAATCCTATCATAAAATAAATAGCCAGACCTTCACTTCAGTCTAACTCAATTCCACCTTATTGCTCTCCAGCTTCCAAAAACAGCTCAGCAGGAGAGCTCACACAACCAGAAAACACTAGCATCTTACCATTCTTTTTTTTCAGATCAGTGGTTGTACCCCACACTGATGCCACACACCATCTCAGCTGCTCACCATGAGATCTGAGGCCCAGGGGTTACCGTAGGCTCGTGTGGAATCATCCATGAGAAGAGGCAGATGCAAAGATTACTCTGCCTTCTGTCGGACATCTGCTAAGCTATCACCCAGGAATGGTTTCCAATCACCCAGCTCCTTCCCCACTAGGTTTCATTTGCAGTTCATGAGCACCGCATCAACCCCTGTCATGCACAGCCAGTGGATTAGGAAATCACTCAAGCTGCAGCACTGGAACATGTGGGCTGCCCTCGGAAAAATAACCAGGGAAATCTCCTCTTCTGTGGGCTCAGCAAGAGAGAAGGAACCAGGCTGTGCAGCAGAGACTCAGCAGCCTGGGCTGGGCGGGTGATTGATTGCCAGGAAAGAGAGAAGCATGGCCTGGGTTGCTTGATACAGCAGATGAAGAAGCCAAATGGAGGCAGCTGTCCCAGAGCGTTTGTGAATTTGGGGCAAACACAGGTTTAGACTGTCAGGTTTGGATGAGATAAAGTGCTACAAGGAGCTGAGGACTGGATAAGGCAGCAGTTCACGAGGCAAAGACAGGAGCCCAATGCCATGATGTGTCAGGTACAGACACGCTGTGTGACCACAGGCAGGATTTGGTCCCTTTGGATCTTGGTTCCCTTTGCATTAACTGAGGACTATTGTACTTGCCCATTATACAGCACCATTATTTGCATTAACACATTCAGAGAATGGAAGATTCTCCAGTACAGCACTAAACCTGGAGAGGTACCTTGAAAGAATAAAAGGATTGTTTGGAAATACACTGAGCAGCTCTTCACCAGTTGGGATGTGCCAACGTGCTACAGCACATCCACGTGGTCTTTGGTTGCTCTCTAGTTCTTTTGCATTTCTAAATCACAGGCAAAGATGTGACCATTGATTTAACTCCCCTGTGGAAAGGAGACTTTTTTCTTAAAATGTAAGCTTACATCTAGAAGAATAAAGCCCACAGAATCATAGAATGGTTCGAGTTGGAAGGGACCTTAAAGATCATTGAGTTCCAACCCCATGTCATTAGGGCAACCAGGAGGGAGTAGCCAGGCATGTTTTTTTTTCAGGCTAATTTAGAGATACAGAAGTTTTAGTGAACTTCGGGTCCCTTCAAGTATTATCATCAAGAATCATAAGCACCATCCACCTGAAGAAAGCTTGAAGTTACAATCTATCCTGCTGCCCATGCTGCTGGCACAAAGGTCTTCTGCAGCCTTCCAGTTGCCACATCAGACCACTAAATCTCAACTCTTCCTCTGCAGAAGGAGAATGTGTTCAACTGATCAAACAATGCATTCACCAGATCTGAATCAACATTGATAGGCTCCAGGAAAGGAATACTGAGATATCTAAGGGATCTTCACATGGTCCCATTAAAGATATGATTTATATTTTAGAAAGAACAAATATTTTCCAAGGATTTAGATCCTTTGTTTGGACAGAGTGGTAAAAAATAATAAATAATTAAACAATTGCCTACAATAGATTCTTTTAGCTTGTAAAACTGAAGTCCCAATAAAAGTATCATAAATTTTTAAGGCTGTATAGACTCCAATAGCACCTGAAGAAAAAGAAAATAGTGATTTCTTGAGAACACAGGGAAATGGAGAGCTTGATAGAAAGGACTGTGACCCTCCAGTATGGGCAGTAGGAGCGTCAGGACAGGGCAATACCATATGGTGTCCACCAATACCATCCAGGAAAGGGATTAAGGGGATAACCCCCCCATACAATAAAGCCCCACAACTCTCACATTTCAGTGTAGGAGGGGAAAACCTCGGGATCTGTCAAGGCACACTTATCATGCCCAGTTGTGAGGCCAGGAGTGGCAAACTGGTGTTTCCTCTTGGCTCCACCTCCTCAGAGACGCTAATGTCGGAGAAAAGCCCATGAGGCTGTCACCCTGCTGCATCATTTCATAATCTTGTGTCTCCTATTCAACCCACACACCCACAAATGGTGGGAAAAGCCATACAGTCCCGTAGAATCCAGCCAGACACTCCTTCTGTGGTGTACAAAAGCCCAAAGCTTGGTGCAGATGCTGTGGGGAGGAGGAGTGAGGGCTCTGCCCCTGCAAGGTCTGCCCGACGGCAGGGCCAGCACCGCAGCTGAGCCTGCACTGAGCATGTGCCACCACGTCCTCTGCTCCAGCACCAAAAACAACCACCACGGGCAGGAGAAAACGCCTGAGGTAGCAGGGAGAAGAGAGAGAAGACTGCTGGGCTGGGGAAAGCAAATCCCGTTTCTTTTCATCCCAGGGATTTTTTTGTTTGTTTGTTTAAACAAACCCAAGAAAATCTTCCCAAGGGGGTGAAGCCCCCGGGCGTCAGCTGCAGACAATCACAGCTGCTCTCCCTTCAGCAGGGGTTTGCTTTTGCTGCGGATAAAGGAGAAAATAATGAAGAAAGCAAACAAGACTCATTCCTTAATTTAAGGGTTTGCCTGCCTTTCTTTCCTGCCATTCCAGGCTATTCTTCATTCCTGCTGTAAGGGCTACAGGCAATGGGGAGCTGCTCCCTGCACAGGCAGCTGGGCGAGGCTCAGCCCTGCTCCCTTCTTTGGCGAACGTTTCCCTATTCTCTTTCCTCCTGCCACAGCACTGCTTTCCCATGGCTTTCTGTTCCTTCAAAATATTTCTCTACTCGATCTGAGCCACAGGGAAGCCCAGCTTCTCTGAAGCACATGCTTCTTCATGATCCTAAGTCTCCTCTGACAGCAAAACTGCATCTTTGGGAAGATGAAACGTGCCATCAGCACGCGGTGGGTTGGGAAGGTGAGAATGCACCAAATGGAAAATGTACATTATGCCTCCCCGTGTTTCATCCGCCGCCTCGTCCATCTCAAGTTCGATGCAACCTTGGTCTAGATGGCTGGAAAGAGCTGTCCCTCCCACCCCCACTCTGCAAAGGAGGCCCAATCCTGCTGTGTAGGAGAGGATGGCAGATGGGTGGGACCTGCCGAGCGTGCACTGCCGCACACGTTCATTGAGACAGGGATTCTAGCAGAAATATATACAATAGCTGGAGATTTTCTATCATAGAGACACATTTTTACAATGCTGCTTTACTGTCTTTAATTGCACGCAAAGCCAGCTCAGGATGAGCTGCATCCTTACACTCCCTCCACACCCCCCACCTCTCTGTCCTTTCTCCCCCTGCATCTACTCATCTTTTAAAAGGAGAAAGGAATAGAAAACGCCCAGCAGGAGACAGGGAAAGGCCAGCAAAAGAAGCCAGACGTGTTGCCTGGTCTCCTTCTGGCTGGTTCCCTGCATGGGGCGGAGGCGGGGGGGGCACAAAGCACTGCCTGCTTTTCTTTTTTGTCTGCTGTTCCTGCTCAGCCCCACATCCTCCTGGATTTACCTTCCCCCACCCAAGCCCTTCTTTAAGCACTGCAGAATTCAGAACCATTGCAAGAGAAAACCTGGGGGTTATATTAAAGAAAAAGACCCTCTAAACCCACCCACTGTTCATTGTACCATTTCAGGCTTTTCTTTTCCTTCAGCCCCGTTTCCAGTTTCAGCCATTTGAATCCCTCCTCCCCAGTTAAACCGGGCAAGACACATCTTTAGGATGCTGGACCAGAGCATCCTCAGGGCAGACTGCCATCCTGCAGCCAAACTGACCCCAGCAGCAGGCTCCTGGGCTGCCATTCCCATTATTGCTGCAGGAAGGAGGAAGGGCTCCCCTTGCAGCATTTGCTTTCACCCAACGCCATCAGAGGACCGCTCCCCTGTAGCATCTTCTAAGGAAGAAATACGAGCTGTGGAAGAAATCTAGGGATGGGAAGCCCTGAGAATACAGAGAAATGCATCCAGGTTACTCTGGTTGGGCGTGGGGGATTTTCTAGGGCATTACTGTCATCTCTTGCCTGTGTCTTTCTTTCCATTAGTCATTTAGGCAATACCCAATCTTCACAAATAAAAAAAAATGTTATTGCTGATTTCTCTGCATCCAGCTACAAAGCATGCAAATTTTTCTTAGGGAAAAAAAAAAAGAAAGAAAGCTGTATCATGTTACAAAAATCATAATTAATTGGCATGCAGCAGCATCTTCTTATGGCACATTGTAACACCAGCAATATTTTAAACTGGCAAGTTTATCACATGTGTATTCATATTAAAATAAAAAGCCCACCTGCTATCTTCCCTCAGAGGGGTGTGTGTGTATGGGGGAGGAAGGGGAACAATGCTGCCATACCGTCTGCCTCCTCAGCAGAGAAGTCCCCCGAAATGCAGAGGGGGAAAAAAAAACCCCAAACCCTCAGAATAATGATTTAAAAAATAAAATTTTCTAGTTCTATAAGTGGGTTGATGCTAAGCCTCCCCCTAAAAGATGCCTGTCCTACCTGAGACGGTGCTGGCCATGCTGCTGCTGCGGCGGCGGCGGGAGCGGAGCGGGTGCTGCAGGAGCAGGAGCGGGTGCTGCGGAGGTGCTGCAATGCTGCGGGGAGGGAGGACTGACTCAGCTGGAGGGGGCTGCAGCCATCCGCGACGGGGAGAGGCTGGGGAGCCCAGAGAAAGGGGAAGGGCTGGAAAGAAAAAGAAAGGGTCACTAGTTCAGAATATTAATTAGCGTATCAGGCCTCCTTTCCTGGGTGGCTTCGACGGTAGATCCCTCCCAGGCAAGACTGACTGCCAGAAACACAGACCCACCGCGGGGGGGGTGAGGAGACACACCCAGCCAGGCTCTGGCAAAAGAGGATTTTTTTCCTCCTCTTCCTCCCTTTCTTGTCTGCTCTAGACGGGCTAGACTGCTTTTTCCCTTGCTGAAAGCACAAATAAGCAAATTCATTGATTTTTATGTTTGTTTGTTGCTTTTTTTTTTTTAAACCAAGGCGGTGCCCACCCGCAGGGCCAGGGCTGGGGTCTGGCTCAGCTTAGGTTGGGGTGTAAAACCCAAACCCCAAAACTTGCAGCAGCTTTAGGCAAACAGCAAAGGGAGGAGGGATCCCAGAAAGGCTCAGCATTTTTAGGCGTGTTATTTTGCACCAGCACTGGGGCACAAAAGGGGCTGCAGTTTGGGGGCAGGGGCAGAAACTGCTGTAAAAGAAGAGGAGGATGAGCAGAACGGAGCCTTCTGAATTCAGTGGGACATCTCTGGGTTTCTCCCCCATTTCCTAGGCATCAGGACCTCTTTTCTTTTCCTTTTTTGTTCTGTTTGCTGTCTTTTCTATCATTTCCATTTGTGGCTGTTGCTAGGGGCCAATGCATTTCTGCTTTTAGACTATCACATAGACATGATGGACCGAGGAACCATCCCCAGTCCCCATTGCCAGTGGCACCATCTGACTGGGGCTGCACAAACCCCACCTCGGTGCCTGTGGTTGCGATCCCACGGGATCCTCCCAGCCTCCAGCCCTGTCATGCCAGATGTTATCCTGCCGGCTGCACATCCCTGCTGGCTGAAAACATCCCAAATTTCCCAGCACGCTGCAATGCAGACACTCCCAAACAATTTCAGCAGCTGCAGGGAACCACAGGTTGCTCAAGGAGCTGTTAGCGCTCTGCCTTGGCCAGGGGCAGAGGCCACAGGCAGTTAAAAAGACAGAGATTTCCCTTTTTTCCTATTTTTTTCACCAATTTCCAAGAGTCCTATTCCTTCTACACCGTATGTAAAAAGAAGAAAAAAAAAAAGAACTAAGGTCTAATTCAGAATAATGTTGACATTACCCACAAATTTTCAATGTGTGTTTGGAACAAGAGCTTTTTTTATTACTATTAACAGCCCCCTGCTCTGTCTGAGGCCTGTTTTGTAGTTGCAACTCCTACTTTCTCCTTGGGTTGAATCTCTAAGACTTTATAGGTTATCTTGAAAGCAGCAGGCTGAATTGTATCTGTTTCAAAAATGCGCTCCCCATTAACAGATGAAAGCAGCTATCCCGGGCACCTGAAAACTGGAATAATTTCCCCCTTTTATTCAGGATAAGTTCTGGTTTTGATTTATTGACCAGACCTGAGGCTCTGTCTACCTCTTGCAAAATTCTGGAGCGTCAGGGAATAAATCTGGTACACGTCCTATTCCTTTTATTTAGAAAAAGGTGGAGAATCCTTCCAAGGTGCCACAGCACGTGTCCCAGAATACACCGTATGGGAATGGTGAGAAAACTGGATCATACACTGCAGCTCCAATATTGTTCACATTCCCAGATAACCTGTCGTATAGATAACATTAATACAATGATTTCTGGATCCATCTGTAACACTGGGAGATATTTCTTCCTTACTTTCCATGTAACTATCTTTTCAAGTTCTCCCTGATTTTCACTGGGGAGCATCTGAAGGCACTACATGTTTCTTTCAAGATGGGGATTAGGGAAAACTGGTGAATATTTGGCTCACGTGCCCTGTGCCTTCATTCCACATGACATCTAACCATGCAGACTATCAGGAAACAACATATTTTCATGGAGAATCAGCAAAGAAGTTGGTTTTGTAGCATGCACTTCTTTCACTAGCTAAGTATTTTCAACATTTTTAACAGTTAAATATTCTTAGATGTCTTTCAACATAGGAAAGGCTTCTTCCAAGAACTCGTGCTTTCAACAACACTGAAAACAAAAGAAAAATTCCAAATGGACAGAAAAGATTCTCTCTTCAACTCTTGCCAAACCAGGGACTCGTAACAATCCTCATGTTTCATTCCAGGGAACATTCGCCTGGGGCACTTCACAGAGAAGGAGTTGAAAGTTGTGGTTGTTACCAAAAGGGTCACAAGCCCCGCACACTTTATGTTGCTGCTTGTGGCTGCAGGGCTGGCAGAAGCACGGCTTACAACAAGAAATATGTGGGGAACAGTTTTCTCTAGTGACTAATAAAATAACATTGAAAGGTGAAAATCATCTGGTCTAAAAGGAAGAGCACAGACTGTGATATGGGAGGCTCTAACTCCCGGCAACATTTGCAGTCTCAAGTTGGGAGAAGCTGCCTTAGTTAGCATGAAATAATAAAAATAATAAGAAGAAGTCCACATAGGGCAGCAATTAAGCCCCTGAAATTGTAAAATAATACAAAAGAAAGGAGAATCACAGAATGATACTGGGTTGGAAGGAACCTCTGGAGATCAACTTGTCCAACCCCCTGCCAAAGCACCCAGAGCAGGTCCCACAGGAACCTGTCCAGGCGGGTTTGAATGTCTCCAGAGAAGGAGACTCCACCACCTCCCTGGGCAGCCTCTGCCAGGGCTCTGCCACCCTCAAAGTGAAGAAGTTCCTCCTCGTGTTTAGATGGAACTTCTTATGTTCAAGTTTGTGCCCATTTCCTCTTATCATGTCACTGGGCACCACTGAAAAAAGACTGGCCCCACCCTCTTGGCACCCAGCCATTACATACTTAATCAGAATAATCACAGAATGATATGGGGTTGGAAGGGACTTCTGGAGATCATCTAGTCCAACCCACAATTTATAAGCATTGCTCAGATCCCCCCTCAGTCTCTTCTCTAGACTAAAAAGACCCAAATCCCTCAGCCTTTCCTCCTAAAAGAGATGTTCTATGTCCCTAATAATCTTTGTAGCCCTCTGCTGTACCCTCTCCAGCAGTTCCCTGTGCTTCTCAAACTGGGGAGCCCAGAACTGGACACAGGGCTCCAGCTGGGGCCTCACCAGGGCAGAGCAGAGGGGGAGGGTGATCTCCCTCAAAATAACTCTGGGAGAGAAACCAGTGACAGCACCATCAGCAGTAATTCAGGAAAATGTTTCCCTGAAGGCAAGAGAAACAAGAGGGTTATTCTGATGTTTGCTCTTCAGCATCTGCCGTGTGCACTCGAGAAACGAGGCCACGTTGTACAAAGGATCTGGAAGAAGAGGAAGAGTTGTACTCATTCAGTCACATAAAGGTGTGAATTCAGGTCACTCCAGGGGACACTCTGCTCAGGTACAACACGAGGCTGTGACCTCAGGTCTAGTGATTCCCTTCTGCCTCCACCAAAGCACTAATCCCACCTGCCTCCCACATCTGTAAAATGTGTGTTTAATCACCTTCCTAGTAACACGACACTTGTGATTAAAATCAGAGTGTCAAAGAGGAAAGCAGTTTTATTTCCCAACTGTAAAGAGACAGAAAGGCTCTGGATTATCTGGATTCAAAGGAATCAAATAATTTTGTGGTCAAACAAAAGTTTTAGGCTGTTGCTATGGGAACCATCACATCTCCTTAGAAAGACAACGAATGGCAACTTAATCTGCTCCCATCTGAAAGGGGAAAAATAACCTTCATGCGAACTGCGGGAGCGTCACAGCTGGTCGCTGTGGTTCCTCCAACACTTTTGTCCTATTCCTCAAGATTCTTGCTTATCTAAGAAGAGAATCCTGCCTACAGCCTCAGAACAAAAATGACCATTACCCACTTTGTATTTCTGCACCAGGCAAGCGTTCTCCTTGCTGGGCTCTCTGCAGTTTGGTTCAGCCACTCACACGCCCACTTCCTCACAGAGTTTAAAGATCATCTCTTCCAAGGTTTTGCTTCTGGACAATTTTTTTTTTCAACTTGAAGGCACCATTTCCCATGAAAAATAGTTCATCCAAGATCTTCACCATCCACTAACAAGCGAGCAGTGGAGATGCCCTGGTTCCTGCTGCCTGGGTAGCCCATAGAGGCCGTTATGGCTGCAGGGACCGGCCTTTCATATAACCCTCTCTGCTGCTCTGATGAATTATTTTAAACCTCTTCCCTTCTCCCTCATCCTCCCTCTCCAAACTCAGGGTTTATCCTGGACCCAAACACCAGAATGACAATCCAGGACAAACACTCTTATTCACCACATCTGCATCCCAACATAAATGAAGTTCTAGCTTCAGTAAACCTTCACAATTCTTTCGCAGTCTTAGTAAGAAATAATTCTTTTCTCTTCAAAGACTTTTGCTTTGTCTGGTCTCAGTTTTTAGAAGAAACTGGCATAGCACTGCTGGAGACAGACTCACCAGTGCTGGCACTGCAGCCTTGGTCACGTAAGGTAAATGGTGCAGAGAAACAACCCTCCAGAAGGATAAGGAGTGCTCAGTCGGTGCTGACTCATGTCGGCCGCTGGACTCGGGCACATCTGCTGACTCACACTCCTTTTTGGGTTTGGTAACCTTCCAGCTCCTCTCTCTCAGGATTTAACAGTGCTGCAATCAACATCACTCAAATAAGTTAAAATAATCTGATATGATACACTATTTATTTATTCTTCAATGTAGGAAAGATGTATTTACAGGAAACTGTAATGATGACACAATATTCCACAATGAGTTTTAAACCTTTGTTCTCCATTATAAATACCTTAGTGCACACTCTTGTTTTACAATCTTTACAAAGTCACTGCTTTTGCAGCTTAATCTTGCACAACTGGTATCAAGTTAAAGAATTCAGTCAGGAACCGGAAAATCCACATTCTGCGTGGAGCACCACGAAGATCTGAAGCAATAACTCAATGGTCTCCAGCTTTTTTGGCTACAAGAATCCAGGCAAGTTCAACTCAAGGAGTTTAAAGGCTGGCAACTGAATTAGCAACACCCGTAAGCTCACTTAACTGAAGAATGTACCAGAAGTTTGAGGAGATTACATAATATACTCAAGATTTGCTCCTCTTAATAGCTATTTTTCTTTAAATACCAGAACACTTGCAAATACAAACAAGCTGTGCAGTCTACT